CTAGAGAAATAAAATCATAAATATGGGATTCTTAAATTGGCTCTCCAGCCTGATGAGTCTTAACACTAGTGATGCTACTTCAACATCCCAATGCATGGATAAGTCTGCTACTCCTCCTAATCCATGGTGTGAGATAGCAAAACTAATACCTAAAGTAGCACCACCGATAGATGAGGCGCTGGTTACACACTCCCCTTCTCTGCCCATCTGGCTGAATCCACAGGTGGCTTTCAGAGTGCTCCATTGGGAAGTGTGAGACTGCCAAGGGCAAGGTCAGCAGTTCAAGCCCATTAGCCAATCTGAGCGAGAAAGCTGGGGCGATCTGTTCCCGTTCAGATGGACGGCTTCAGAAACCCTACACAAGGCGGCCATCGGGAGCGACTCTACAAGGGTGGCTGCCAAAGAGACGACGCAGACTTGCATGCGCTCCCTTCCGGGAGTCAGAGCTCTCAAGAGGCCGTGAACTCAAAACCCTCCTCAGCGCCACACAGCCTATTCCTAGTTGAAATGCTGGCTCCATCCTTCAATGTCCCATTGACAATGGAAGGACACACAGGCAGAGGACAGCTATCTGAGGCTGGGAACTCCATGTGCCCGCTTTGGAGGCTCTAGGACCTATCGCCCTCTATGGAACTGAGGCTGGTAAGATGGTCAGAGGTGGAGACAAGAACATGGTCAAAAGGTTTCTTCTTAAACAAACAAACAAACAAAAACAAAACACTCTGGAACCCCCTGGAAGTTCTCAGCAAAGGCCTCTCCAGAGCTTTGGAGTCGCCAACGTGCTCCACACGGGGGCACTCTCTTTGGGGGCTTCTTAGAACGGTGGGAGCTGGCCAGTAAGCGGCGGCTCTGGGGGCCTGCGCTGCATAAAAAACCTAATTCTGGAGACAAGAGTGTATCACAGTTCCTTGGGGGGCATGCTCCTAATTTCCCATGCTGCTGACTCTTCACCCTGCAGGCCTAGAGCCAACAATAAAAAAGGCTGGACATTGGACTGGGGGACAATGACAATCCAACCCCGCAGCAGGGAAAGCTGGTCACGCAGTATCAGGCGCTGGGCGGGCAGGAAAAGGAAGGACGCAGAGCCGCCCAGGCTGCTGTTGTAGCGCTGCTGCCCATCTCCTGGCGGAAAGACTCGGGACAGAACGGGGTTGGGGCTGCTGTGTCCGGGCTAGGCGGTAGCTCAGAGACCTGGGGTCGCACGGTTGTCACTGGCTGGATCTGCGAAGTAGATTGTCACGCCCTTCTTCCTAGTCTGTCTTAGTCTGTGAGCACGAAACCAGCATCCTACTGCCACACAGGCCTCCAGACAAGCGGGTGCTGGCTGCACACGAGGGGCACTGGCCACGCAGGTGGGAACTCAGCGACCACACCAGCCAGGCCTCAGCCAAACCAGGACCAAACTCATTGCCACGGAGTTGATTCTGATGCGTAAGGATCCGATGGGACAGAGTAGAATTGTTACTTTGGGTTCCCAAGACTTTACATCTTCGCAGGAGCAGGCAGCCTCAGCGTCCTTCCTCAGAGTGAGTGGCGGTAGCTGTTAGGTGCTGTCCAATTGGCTCGAACTCAAAGCGATCCTATTCACCAACAGAACGATGCAGTGCCCCCCTTGCCATCCTCACAATTGTTCTCATGCTTGCGCCCCTCGGTGCAGCCGCCGGAGCAATCCATCTTTTCTTTTTTTTTTTTGCAATCCATCTTTGCAAGGGTCTTCCTCTTTTTCTTTTTTATACTTTTCATTGTTTTGGTTTTTTATTGATCATTTTATTGGGGGCTCTTCCAGATCTTGTAATGATCCACATATCAATTATTATCGCGCACACTTGTACATATGTTGCAATCATCATTTTCAAAAACATTTTCTTTCTACTTGAGCCCTTGGTATCAGCTCCTCTTCCCTCCCCCACCCTCCCACCCTTGTGAATACTTGATCAACTATATATTGATTATTAATGTTATTTTCGTATCTTATACCATCTGCTGTCTCCTTTCACTCACATTTCTGTTATTTGTCCCCCTGGGGAGGGTGTTATATGTACATCATTGTGATCAGTTCCCCCATTCTTCCCCTTTATTTCCACCCCCACTTCCTATCCTGGATTTCATGTGTCCAGAATTCTGATCTATACCAATGTACAAACTCCAGTCTATCAGGATTTGTAAGGTAGAACTGAGGTTATGATAGTGGGAGTGGGGGAGGGGAGTTATGGATCATTTGATACCTGCTACCTCATGATCACACAGGTGGTGTGCTTCTTTCATGTAGGCTTTGTTGCTTCCCTGCTAGATGGATGCTTGTTTAACTTCAAGTTTTTAAGACCCCAGATGCTAAATCTTTTGATAGCTGGGTACCATCTGCTTTCTTCATATTTGCTTATGCACCAATTTTATCTTCAGCGATCATGTCGGGAAGGCGAGTATCACAGAATGCCAGGTTATTAGAACAAAGTGTTCTTGTGTTGAGGGAGGACTTGATTAGAGGCCCAAGTCCATCTGCTATCTTAATACTTAACATATAAATATATATACATAGACCTATATCCCTATAGTTATAAATGAACATAGATACATGCCTATATTTATACTTCTTTTTCGCTGCCACGTTACTTTACCAAGCATGTTGTCCATTTCCAGGGACTGGTCTCTCCTGACGACATGTCCAGAGTCTGGAGGCGAAGTCTCCCCATCGGTGCCTCTGCGCAGCACTCTGGCTGTCCTCCTTCCAAGACAGAGCTGCTTGTTCTTTTGGCAGCCCACCGCCCCGTCGATCTTTCCCACCCACACTGCAAGTCTTCACAGGAGCCAACAGCCTGATCTTTTTCCTTTAGAGACTATCGATCAGTCCGATTAACTGCCACACCGTAGGCACACTGTTGGCTGTGCGTGCTCTCTCCGGGGAGGGAGGGAACAGGAAAGGACACCCTAACTCAACATTCCCGATGGCCCCAGAGAGTGCAGGGAGACGAGACCCTTTTCAGAAGGTGACTTATTTGCAAATAGGACTCGGGTAAAAATCACACGTGAAGGGCTTTGAGGGATCGTGAAACCCTATGCCGGTGATCTAACCTGGCCCTGTCTGTGGAGGTGAACTGCACATTCTGGTACAGAAGTACCTGGCGCTTCGGGGCACTCGACGATGAGAAGTTTCCTGCTTCAAGAACCAGCTAAGATGCAAGTAAGTTTGCTGAGCATTATATTACATTCAAAGTACTTTGAACACAAGTGGATGCTTTTCAAGTACTAGAAAAACATTTGACTCTGAAAAAAATATTCAAAAGGAATCGTATTCATACACCCTTGTGAGTCTTCTCCTTCACAGATGGCTTGAGTAAGAGCTGTCATTTCTCCTCACTCGAAATACCTTCGATGTGACTCCCACCCGCTGACACCAAGCAATTCTAACTCACAGCAACCCTGCATGGGGTCTCCACGGCTGGAGGTCTTTATGGGGACAGAGAGCCTCATCATTCTCCCTCAGAGCACCTGGTGGCTTTGAACCATTGACCTTGGCATTGGCAGCCAAACAGTTACCCAACAGCACCACCTGGGTCCCTTCCGATGTCAGCAGAACTCTGCACACTTGTGATCTGATTAGAAATGGGGTGTCCCTGAGGTCTGAGTTCAGAAGGCTTTAGAACGATTTTCCTTTTTACACTGATGTTTCCTGGCCGCCACCTTTGACTGGGGTCAATACACACATAACCAAACATTCGCCATTTCAAGTTTGCACATGCCCAGTTCCATGACATTAACCACGTATGTAATTCTCTTGTTCCAACACCACCACAATCCACGTCCCAACATTTCCATCACCCTCACCACAAGCTCAGCGAGCTCCCTTCCCTGCTCCCTCCAGACCCTCCTCGTGGCCCCCAGGGAGGCACCAACTGAGGCAGGAGGAGCGACTGGGGGTGCAGTGGCATTTGTGCTGGCCTGGCCGTTTCTGGAGATGAACCTGCAGAGGTTCCTGCTCCGACTGGCACGGCGTTCGTA